TGAGGACCAGAGCATTCAGACATTACACATTAAAAACACACAAGGGACATCTTAGTGAGCGTGAGTGAGTGAGTGAGTGAGTGTGAGTGAGTGAGTGTGTGTGAGTGAGTGAGTGAGTGAGTGAGTGAGTGTGTGAGTGAGTGAGTGAGTGAGTGTGAGTGAGTGTGTGTGAGTGTGTGTGAGTGAGTGAGTGAGTGAGTGAGTGAGTGAGTGTGTGAGTGTGTGTGTGTGAGTGAGTGAGTGAGTGAGTGTGTGAGTGAGTGAGTGAATGAGTGTGTGTGTGTGTGAGTGAGTGAGTGTGTGAGTGAGTGAGTGAGTGAGTGAGTGAGTGAGTGAGTGAGTGAGTGAGTGAGTGAGTGAGTGTGAGTGAGTGAGTGAGTGAGTGAGTGAGTGAGTGAGTGAGTGAGTGAGTGAGTGTGAGTGAGTGTGTGTGTGAGTGTGTGAGTGAGTGAGTGAGTGTGTGAGTGAGTGAGTGAGTGAGTGAGAGTGAGTGTGTGTGAGTGAGTGAGTGAGTGAGTGAGTGAGTGAGTGAGTGAGTGAGTGAGTGAGTGTGTGAGTGTGTTACCTGGATGTTTTCCGTCAGGCCGTACTCTGCGTGAGGGTTCTCAGAAACCTGCAGGAGGAGTTACTTGAATGATTAATAATCAGACTGAATGTAACCTGAGGATAGTCACATGTTGCCTGCGTAGTGTGGACGTATTAGAGGATGATTTGCTTTATTAATGGAGGAAGAGAAGGTCGAGGTATCCCGGGAAGAAACTCTCAATTTCTGAGATTAAAGTCGCACTCTCAGGATAAAACCGTTTGGGACATTTTGTCAAATTAAAAAGGTTCACATTTTAAGTTTTTTTTGGATATACTGATATTAAAGTTGTACAGAAAACCACCCTGAGAACAGCTGTTTGTTTGCTAACAGACAACATGTCTTCACTTTATTTATTTGGGTTATCCAACCGTATAAAGATATCTCTTTTTCAAAAAGGGAAAAAAGAATGACCTCCCATCTCAAAAGGTCCGTGTTTCTGGACACCTATTCTTTGGGACTTCTTACGTTTTTTCTCATTATGTCTGAGTTTTCTGATCATTGATAATGAGATCATCTGACCATTTGTATCTCAGTGTTTCCCTGCTGGTCGCTAAAACTCTGGTGTTCTCTTCATAAACCTGAGTGTGTGACTGCAGCAAGATATCACACAGTCATCAGCTGTTTCACACACATCAATATCATACAGTATCGTGTGTGTGTGTGTGTGTGTGTGTGTGTGTGTGTGTTACCCACAGGAGTGTGTCCCTCCATCGACTGATCTGCATCTGTGTGATCTGAAAGGAGAGAGCAGAAGCCGTTGGAACAACTTTTTAAAAGTCTTGCAGTTAGCCTTTCTTATTATTATTCAACAGTTTTGTGTAAGGCATACATTTAGTGAGAGACTCAGACTCCCAGAATCCCTTGCCGTATACAGTATGAACCTCATATGTCAGCTTCTCTTCTGATGTATTTGTATTATGTTTCTTGTTCAATAAAGACTTAATCATTCAAATGACCGTGACATGTCCAGCCGGTCTTTCTTCTGGAGACACTTCATCCTGAGATAATACCGGCGACAGATGTCTGCTAACAGTAAATTAAGAACACTATTAAAGCTACTTCATATTTTAAAATATGATACCCAAAGGCCAGACACGTGACATGTATGTTTGTTTATTACCGTGTGTTTGTAACGGAAAGTGTTTCTGCTTTTTAACCGGCGGTATATTAGCTTAGCATCGCATTAGCTCTCCGTGATTTCTTAATAAAACCTCATTAAACAAGTGAACAAGAACCCTGTGATTCGGCCCTAGCCTCTGACACAGGACATCTAACCGGGAAACGGGCAGAAAACAAACACATATAGAACACAAACTCCGAAACACTCCATCAATGGAAACAAAAAACTCACCGTCCGACATGTTTGTTGTGGATCTGAACGTAAGTGACGTGGTGACGTCGATTCTGTTCAACGGTGCGTAAGTGACGTCGTTTCTTTCTAATGATTACGTAAACAAGATAGAAGCACGGAACCATTGTGGGATATTATTTTTAAATAATTAATATAATAAAACAAACCAAATATTTTACACGTTCTTTTTTTGTGTAAATGTGTTTTCTAACTTGTTGTTTAAATTAGTTATATTTGTTTTGTTCCCAACGCCGTGTTTTCGGTTTGTGTACTTCAAAATAAAAGCACAGAACCAGGATTCATAAATGTTTTCAAATGTGTTAAAAAATGTTTTGTTTGTTCCAAGTACTTGATTTAATGTGTTGTACATTATTTACATTTGTGTTTTAATTAGTTTAGTTTATTTGTTCTTATAATTCTTGTTCCCCACGTCGTAGCTGTTTCCGGTTTATGTACGTCCTTCAAATTAAAAGCACGGAACCATGAATAATAAGTCAAATAAAACCAAAAAAAAAGATTCTATATGTTCTATTTCTTTTGTTTAATGTGTTTTTGTTCCAACTTTTTGTTTAAATTAGTACAATTTTCTATCTGTTCTATTTTTTTGGCCCTAGCTTTGTAATGTCCAGAGCACTATTGAGAGATAAGATAAGATAGTATTTATGAAATACTTATTGAGAGAGCTGGCCAACACAGCAGGGTCTTTTATCAGGGCATCGTTGATTTTTTATTCTAGAATATTATTTTCCTGTTTCTAATCTTTACCTAATAGTTTATTTAGGATTTGCCAAACGTTTTTACCGTTATCTTTCGCACCTTCAATTATATTAATGAAGAGCTTTGTCTTATTGTTTGTGTTACCTTGTTACGAGCATGAGAGCATTTCTGTCTGTCAGTGGAGAATCCGGATTTCAAGCTCTGCTTTAATAGTTGGTCTCTGGATTTCATTAGATTCCTGCACTGTAGATTCAGCCAGGGAAGATGACGTTCCTTTGAGGCACCCTCTCCTTGAGAAGGAAGACATTGCATCTTTAATTTTAGATATAACCAGATCACTGTTTTCACCAATGTCTTCAGAGGACAGTGTCAATCAATCATTTTCACTGCCTCCATAAAAAGTTGTTGCAGGTTTTTGGGGATGAAGCGTGAACCCAAGGCAGGGGTTTTAGATGAGGCCATGAACCTTGTTTTTGAGAGTTTCCTGGCAAAAAGAACCAGATTATGGTCAGAAAGCCCAGTCGGTAAGTTGTAGGTTTGAACTATTCAGTCAGCTTTGTTAGTAAATACTAAATCTATTATGGTCTTGGAGTTACTCTAGTCGGTTGATCCATTAGTTGTATTAAGTTGTGTTTATCCGTGATCCGTTTGAAGCTTTTTCTATTTTGTTTGTCATTCCAGTTTCTGTTAAAGTCTCCTAGAATAATTAGCTCTTTGTTGGAGTCACAGGAATTCAGCAGGAGTTTTATCTGGTCAAAGAAATGCACCTTAGCGGCGGGTTGTCGATACGGGCAAATCATGGTGAGGGACATTTCCTCAGATACTGTGATTTCCACACCAACACAATCAAACTCAATATTAGCTGGAAGAGCAACACAAGTAAAGGTATCCCTCACATAAAGCCACACACCCCCTCCTTTCCCCTCAGTCTGTCCTTCCTAAACACATTAGATCCTGACATCCTCAAGTTTGTATCTTGTTGGTCGAACGCACTTATTGTAAGTCACTTTGGATAAAGCGTCAGCTAAATGTAATGTAACATAGATACGAGAGAGGATGCTGACGACTGTTTTATTAGCCTACTGTCAGCTTGTATCCTGGTCCACCTGGTGTTCCTTTGGCCAAATGTCTGTGATGCCTGAAGGCCTGTTAACCTGGAGGATGTGTGTTGGTCCTTAGTACTTTAGTATTAATCATACTGAGTAGTGGTACATTTACAATGTGCTCTTCCTACTAGGTGGTATCAGCTGCTGTTTTGCTATAGTTAGGTTTTGCTTGAATTAGGTTTTGTTTCAATTTAGTTTTGCTGACTTATATTTAGGATTTTAGTGTATTTTACTGTTTGCTCGTTTGGACCAACTGGATAATTGTTTCTCCTGCTTTATACTCATTTGTTGTGTCTTTGCCCCTTGTAGTGGAGTTGGAGCCAGCTAGTGGTGGAGGCACACAGTCGAATTCCCTGGGACACAGTTTGTAGTGAGTTTTGATTTGCAGTGATATTTGGTTTTGTGTTTTTACCAAGAATAAACAAATACATGTGATTGACATAATGAAATAAACTGTTAAACTGTTTCATTATAACTGAACCACGGCTCTGTCTTGTGTCAGTCACAAACTTGTAGAGCCTTCTTAGTTCTGAGGACTGAGGTGTAAATTAAGTATCTCCTGGGGCGAAACTCCCCAGGTGGCGTTGTCAGGCATTTTGGTATTTGGGTGGCTCTGCCTTTAAAAACGACCACCCCGCCACATACACATCAACATGTGTCCCCGGTGTCGTCATGGGTCACCCACACCACCGGGTTTATCTCATCGTGGTGAAGATAGTGCTACTGGGTAGGGATGTCAGCGATTATTCGATTTTTCGAATATTCGTTGCAGTCTCCAGAATCGAAAATTATTTTTTAAATTCGATTTTATTTATATATATTTGTATTATTATTTATGTTTTTCTTTTTTCCTGGCTTAGTTTCAACCAAAAATATAGACTAATGCTAATAATAGTAATAGTATTAATAATTGTAAATGGCCATTGGTCACACCACCAGTTTGTTTTACTGTAAACTTGGAGGAAGCCAGCAGCGCAGGCTGCAGAGTGCAGTCTGCTGCTGCCTGCTGCAGCCTGCTACACACCGACTTCCTTGCGCAGGTATCCACCTCTGACCATGGTGAAGTACCTGGACCTTACAGCGTGTTGAAGTCTGGCGGCGATGGGGTTCTGGCG